ACTGCCAAAGCATCCTACTCCAGCTCTCAGGGTTGAAACTCCACCAGCACTTGCACGACTAGCGAGTGGCTTCGACATCGATATCAGTATCATATCTACAACTATACTTCGCGAGCATCCACATTCACTACACTGGCAATAGAAACACTCGATCACCAAGGGCTCCCCCATCTACACTAACAATGTTTGACAATTTCAACCCCAACGAGTCTACTGACAATGCCGATTACCCTGAGTCCTCCACGGACTCCAACAACGTCTCCCTGTACCGCGGCCAAATCACCCAACTAGAGGGATTCCTGCAGAAAGTCTCGTATCAAAACGCAATCATGTCTGAGAATTCCAACTCTTACCATATTTCTACCCACTCTACCTCCGACGCCAACATGAACGAGCGCCCCCAACGCTTCAACAAAGAATCCCACAAAGTCAATGTAAGACTCCCAGCTTTCAGCTCTACAATCACGCCCGCTGAAGACACAACAACCGCGTGGGCAAGCAACAAACCAGTCGTCGACATCGACTTTAGCCAATTTGTTGTGCCCACCATTCCCACTCCTCCACAAACCTGTCTATCTGCCACAGCCTACGTGGCAAAACTAAAAGCTAAGCGCGCTGCCATCGTAACGATCCCGACATCCCCGACCGCTGTACAGAATCTCTTGTCTCCGCCGCATCATGCATTCGTGCATGGCGTGCTGTCGATCAATTGGGTGATATCGGCGGTTGGGGGGCAGCATTTTGTGGCTAGGGAGCGGGATCGTAGGGTGGTGTTGAAGCAGAATTCAGAGATTAGGCTGAGTGGCGAGCGGATGGGAGTAAGAGGCGCGTTGTTGGGATGGCTGTGTGGAGATGACGAGGAGGTGAGTGCGGCTGAAGAAGGGGTTTGCTTGACGAGGGAGTATTTTCAGGAGGGTTAGTTGCAGCGAAGGGAGCACCGGAGAGAAAACGGTAGGCTCTTAGAGCTAGATAGCCAAAATTAAAAAAAAAAAATTTGGAGACGCTGGATGCCATGTTCGACAGATGACTTTCACATACAACCACGTATATGAACGCCTCCGAGCAATAGCAAGTCTTATCACCTCTGTAAATGAGACAGTCAGCCGACCCACGGCTTTTGCCCTAGTAGTGACAAGAATCAGTAGCCCTTCATACCTTTTATGTGCTGCGTTGCCTTTGAAATGGGGTTCTGTACAGCCCTTTGTTACTCTCAACCCCACATTTCTCTTTGTTGCACCGCGATAGTCGTTTGTATGATTTGGTAATCTTGAGGATGAAGTAAAACAGGGATGCAGGCTGGGCCTCATTTGGGATGGTTGATTAATATGCCGCGACAACATACGGCTACGGTCATCATCCGTCCAGCCGTGTTATCCGCCTACGTCTTGCGAACGACCGCCCCGCACAAAAAGTCGAGCCTCGTCGTGCGCTGACGAACCAGCACGAGAATTAGAACTGAGTGGGGGCCGTGGAGTAGGAGCAGTAATTGTTGGTCACGGTATGCGAGTGACACCTCGGTGGGCTCAGTGATAGCTTTCGATAGAATCCCCCAGAGCACGTAATTTCTTAGGTAGAAATGGATGACCAAGAGATTCTTCACGATACTGATCTTTAGTAGAGTCTGGTGAATTCAGTACTGAGGCACTAGGTAGAGTCGTAGCTACACAACCGGTGAGAACTCTCAGTGACCTAGCCGGATGTATATGTGGTACTTGTTCAAATCCTCATTATTTTCTGGTGACCTCGCTATCCCTCATCAGCGCCCCAAAATAAGAAATCCTCTTGCTATTGGCTCGCCTGCCGATAAAAGATGCCAGGCAAATCTCCGGGGAATCAGCTAGCGTCTTGCTGGTGAAAGGCGCTCGCACGTACCATCTAAAACCTCGTCTGATACCCACTTCTAAGTATAAAAGTACGCTCCCACACTCTTGTTATCTCCATTACCTCGACATCAATTTTTTCGGCTTCCAACTACCGCCTACCTCCGCAGTTCGTCAGTCAAGCTTTACTTATTATATCCTTTACCTACTCACATTCATAGAACTTCTCTCCTTTACAAAGCACCGCTCCTAACTTCTCAGACATGCCCAGCCCACAGCGAGACGTTCAAGACGTCATTGAGGGGTTCATGGAGCGCCAAGTTGAGGGCACCAGGCAACCAACTGCTATGGAGCAGGAGGACCGTGAGCAGCGCCGGCTAAGGCGTCAGGAGCAACGAGAGCGTGAACAGCACGAGGCGGGTAGGTCATAAGTTTCTACGCCGAACGTTGTTTGCTAACCTCAACCAAGTACGCGCGACTTGGACAGGGATCCCCAACGACAACGTTACGGACCCTGACCAGTACCGCACTGTTGACGAACTGGTCAGGCTACTCCTAGATCCACCCCGACGCTGCAAGAACCCCATCTTTAGAAGCCAACGACAAGTCGGCAAGGTTCGGATAGACATGCAGTTTGTCCAAAGCACCCTCACCGAAGCGCACATGCGCCAGAATGTCGAGCTCGGCCGAATGATCCTGAAGGACGAGTCAAAGGTGAAGACACATGGGTAAGCGTTCTGGCTATTTACATATCTGATTCATTGCTGACTTGACGCAGCCTCCAGGCAGGTTTACCTCGTGGCTTGTACGACTGGCTCTGTGGCCATGGAGATCCACCCAGGTCCGGTACTATTCAACGTTCGGACGAGTCCCAAGTGTACTGGACAACACTTTACAGCCTTAAAAAGGTAAACATTACGCTTTTATAATGCGATCACCCAGAGCTAACTTGACCATTAGCATATTTAAGGCTAGGGTCTGTGGGTGGAGGGGCCTCACTGGGTCCATAGATAGCTATCGGTGATCTGGAGAGGCTGGGGGAGATTTGATTCAACAACTGGAGGGAAACCAGATTGTGAATGGAATAATTCTTCGACTTTCATTGTCTTGACATTTAATCATATGCTTCAATGCAGATTCGTTAAAGGTATGTCTCAGTGCTACTAAAATCTTTTACGCAACAAATAACCGAGACAAGCTGTATTTCGATGCATGTAGATACTGATAGAATGACCTCGGTCATGTGGATACCTCCTCATTATCGGATCACCAGTCGCGAAGATTGCCAAAACCACCCGCCTCACCTCTTGCCGACATATGACGAGCCACCACAGCCACATGCGCTCGCTAGCCAATTGGTCCCCGTTTTCAGAGTGAACGCCGCCCCACGTGCCCGCTTTCTCCCACCACAAATTCTGCAGCCCCGCTCTGCGCTCTTAGCCACACAAACAGCTTTCCGTATATTAATCAACCGCCTACAATCACAAACACTCAACGGTTCTCATATACCTCCACCCCTATCAACATCAGAAGTTTGACAAGGCAGTCGAGACTGCAGCAATCCCCACAACCGCGACCAAAGAACGCGCCCGAGCAGGACAACAAGTAGGGATTCGCCAAACCACAGCATCAAGCCACGACCACCATGCAGAGCGACGATATCACAGACCCTGCAGCCTGGCGATCTATAAATTCTATCACCACGAAGCTCCTCGATCCACCAGCCGACGCCTGGTACCCGCGCCATGATATGAAGGATTTGGTGAAGATCAAGCTCTCATGGGCGGTCAAGACTATCGGCGAAGCTCACTTTCACATGAGCCATCCGACTGGGCGCCCAGTTCTCCGCGAAGAGTCGAAGCTGAAGATTTACGGGTAAGTGGTCTTTGTGACTACCATTTAGGGCTGAAGCTTATTTTGGTATAGGTGTCACGCTGGATTGCCACGAGGATTTCATCGCTGGCTGTGTGGCGGCGAGGAGCAGCGGAAGAATGTGGCCTGGGCGTCTGAGGCCTACTGGATCACCGAGGAACAGTTTCGCCAGGTAGGTTTCTCTACTTTGAAGCTACGGCAAGACTAACACAAATTCTCTACAACCCCAGAGCCAGATAGCTTCGCGAATAAGGTGGTGAGCTTGGAGAGTGGTTGCGATCGGGTTCATGGCCACAACAAAAGATGTTGAGTCAGGGCGAAACTGGAATTCCTTATGACTGGCCTACAAAAGATGGCGGGTTTGACGTACAATACCGTCGACATATGTAAATGATAACTACCCTTTCTATGCCAAAGACAATCGTGAAGGCGAGTGTGATAAGTGTTGCCAAACAACAGTAGTGAAGTTTCGAGATGTATACCACTTCTATAATACTTTCCGTCTTCTATACTCCGGTTACAGTGTTCATGGGTTCAATAAGTCGAGCAATGACTTATAAGGCTGTAAGATTGACGTTGATATGTCACAAGATGCAAACACAGAAACTTGCAGAAGTCTGCTTCTTCTAGTCTCAGCCTCTACGTTACCCCCGACAAATGCCTCCAATATGCCCTCACTCAGACCACCAGTTCGTGAACTACAAGTCTGATTATACCATGAGGGGGTACGCTATTTTTCCAACGATTTCCGTGATGACTTGCGACATTTCTCACGGCAGGTGGCTCTGGTTCGCAATTTCTAAGAGACGCGCTCGAAGCGGGGGCTCGAGTCGGCATTGTCGTTCTGGGTACTAGATGACGTTGTGTGCGAGCAGATGGTTTGCTTCGACAAGAAAGTAGAGGATGAGGTCGGCTTTCGCGGGAGAGGAGAATCGGGGATAGGGCCTTATAGATTAGGTCAGAATAATAGCAGGAGATGGTTTGGAGAAGAGAGTGTGGTGGTAGGGTGAGCTCGCTGCGCTGGGAAGACAGGAAAATGACTGGGGTCTGTTGGCGATATTAGCCTGTATTATGGGTATCGCAGCGGTCTTCGAGACTACAGAGTGTGTTTTTGGACAGCGAGTGTGATTTGTATCGTGCATTACGAATTGTGTGCTTCTAAACTTTTGTTCCAGAGGTGTGGTTTTCCCTCGGAGCTAGAAACTAATAGAAAATTGACAAGGCTGAGACGCCCCCACTCGGCAATGTAAATAAACGCTCACTGTATAAATACTATTCATTTTTCTAACTATCCATAAATAAATCACAGCCTCTCTGGTGTAATGGTAACATGTCTATACTTGAAGCACAATTCCCCATTAACGTAATGGGGAATTGTGCTTTATGGGTCATAGAAGATCTAGGTTCGAATCCTACGGGAGGTAATAAAATATCTTTTTCCACTTGAAATGTAGAAATAGATCCTTCTTTTTGGCGACGAGACAGGGGAGAACACGAATGTCGTCTTAGTAATTCCTTTTTGCCAGAACTTCTCAACAGCGAATTGCAGAGCAAACGTTGAGAATTGAAAGTACATATATTAGGATTACAACATCGAATATGTTTGTCTCTCAATTACAGGTAGAGAGGTTTTACCGCCAGAGGTTCAGTGAATCTCGTTGAAGATCTTTTCAACACATAGTTCCTTTCTACACTCGCTTCTACATCTAATTATCCATAATATCCATATCGATTAACTTGCTCGTATACCAGTGCGCTCACTTACGGCGATGGTTGCGCAGAAAAGCGGCGATCCAGCTCGCCGGTCTCATCCCTCGTAGAGCGGACAGCCCTAACTCCTCTACCCACCCAATACTAAATTAAACACCTACTCTATACTGCCCAGAAAAAGTCCAAGTCAAACCAGGCTACTTCGACCAAGACCTAAAACTATGACCTACCGGGGCCTGCGATTCTCGATTGGGGCAGCTAGACACGGTGTTATGGATGCGGAGTCGGAAGACATGCTAGAGGAAATTGGTGTTTCCGTTGAGAATCTCCAGGCTATGAGCGAGGATTTGGGGACGACGGTTGACTTATAAAGCATACCTAGACTAACTGTACAGGAACGCAATCCTGGTATGAGGATGTCCCACTAGACACACAATACACATCGCGACGACCTGATTTTGTACGAGGAATGCTTTCGGCCCTGCTCACAGGTCATCGTCATTCTTTTTTCATCCTTCGTACGTTGGGGCACAGCAATGATGCCTTGCCTATAAAAGATGTGCATCCCTCTCTACTTACTTTCACACACCATTAGTCCAATTCGCTCTCTCCGTTCTTTCCTTCCGTTTACTACCATGGCTGCTCCAGAACCATCTCCGGAGCATCTGATGGTGCTCTGTCGTTATGGAGACCACGATCAGTTGCTCCGAGCTTCAACAATTGGCAACAGCCCAAGTAGCTCTATCAAGGACTACGTTCCCATAGACTGGAGTGCGGGCGCGGGATGTTACCATTTATTCCTCCGGAGCTTGCTAGAGGCCGCAACCACGGGCGGTCACGCCGACACGGCCAAGTTGGACCATTTCTTCGGTCAGCCCCACTGTGTCGCCATGCTGGATTTAGTAACGCCCTCCAATATAGCCGCCGCATTACGTGAGAACACGCTAGAAGTACTGCTCAAATTCAAAGTGGTTGAGCCTGACGACTTCTTTCTCTACTGCATTGTAGGTAGCAACACACTCAGCGCCGTCTGCTACGGTGGGCCCCACCCAGAGCCAGTGCCTCGCAGGAAGGATCTCAATCCTCTTCGATATATGATGGAATCCGCATTTGACCCCAACGGGAACTGGGTGCCGGGGCTGACCCGCTCAGGCAATCTATATCGCCTGCGGGGTGCTTCCTCGAAATCGTTGAGCGTCTGCTGGAGTATGGCACTGTCGTAGCGCAATCAGGAGAGATGCGTAGGCGTGAATAGCAAAAATCTTTTACTGTCTCCATCTTTAATATAGTCCCGAATCCCGCGCGATGTCTAACATGCATCCCGGTCTGGATGAAGGAGTTGAATGACGGGCTTTACTGTAGTTCCGACCCCGGGGTATACGTCTCTGCTACTGTGAAGTTGTGTGCGTAGCCGTTCGGACAACTCGGTCGTTCTGCGAAGGAGCTCGCTCATGTCAGGGGAACGAGATTGCGGGAGGATTGTGCATGATCTATAAATTATTAGAAGTAAACTAAGAGATCAGATGCATAAGTGATATAGGCAGATTGCTTGTCGAGATGGATGTGAGAAAGGTGGAAAAACAACGAGCGTTCGAGTGGGCGCGACGTCGTGACGCGTGTGAGCAAACCTTGCGCTAGACCCGAATCGGTCTCAGCAGAACTAGGTCTAAGAATGCTCATACTGCTTTCAGGGCCTCTTTACTACTACAATCAACCTAGTTTTTTGCGTCCCGCTCCGCGCTGTACTGTTGAAGAATGCGACACACAATGATTACATTCAAGCCACAAACCCGACATTGACATATATGAGAGCGATCACAATATTGAGGTCAAGTTCGGAATTCTTCTCAATCTCAACAGCTGATGGCAACAAGTCTAATGAATTCAAGTGAGATGTCTAGGCGGGAGCTCCATCTCCTCATTATATCCCCTCGCCAACTCATGGAAGCGTGGATAGTACTTAGCTTTGCAACATCGGTGTAATTAGCGGAGCCCGAGCGGTATAGTAGAACCGCAGTATCACAGACTCGCCAGCAATGAATCATGACTACAAGGGCCTAAACTCAGATATTCATTATGACATTTATTTAGCTCATTCCACACAACGCAACATTCAAACAAACAAATTCAGCAAGTTCGTATGATATTGAGCCTGTCCACAAACCTAGTATATCACCTAGGCCCCACCAATCACCCAAACCTCATTTGAAGAGTCGCTAGTCATAAAGAGCCTCCCCTTCGCGTCAAAAGCTAAGTCAACAGGACGAAAGCATCTTGAAGGACAGTTCCCATTGGTAGGATTACTCATGACGTTGATAGCGGCTGTATTAGATGTCGAAGGCTCAGTTGGCATGCCGGTTGCGGGATCAACGTTGATCTTGCTGAGACGGTAACCGTCAGGTGGGCTCCGGTTCCTTATAACCATCAGTAACGCTATGATAAGCATTTCGCAAAGACTATCGGCATATTTCCGAAGGGTAGCCCTCTGCGAATCAAAAGAGAACGACGTTGCAAACATACCAAGAGCCATGGAAAGCGATATAAGCCGCAGTGCTATTGTTATTAAACTTAACGCCCAACGGTGCCGTATGGCTTGGAAAGCATAGTTTCGGCGGAATACGTTGTGCACACGTAGAATCGCTGCCTGTGCCGATTGCAAATTGCGTGCCCACTTTGATGTTTTGGTTATTGGGAATGACGGATGGATCCCATGCAGCAAAGCAATCGGGATAGCCATAATTAGCGCCGCGCTCGGAAGATGTGCCGCTGAGAGTGCCGTGGTAGTTAAGCTCCTCTATAAATGACGAGTGAGTCGTGGTCTTAGAGGGAAGATTGGAAAAAGCGAAAGGAGAAGGAGCCGGGATGACGAACCACATGGGTTAGTGTTGTGGATATCGACATTGTTCTTCTTCATGTCGTCCACACTGTTTTCCACGGACCACTAGAGACACGATTAGATTTCAAAACTCCTGAAAAGCACGCGTCCGAAACACTTACAATACCGCCAGAGATCGGATTCTCAGTCACTCCGACACTGTTTCTCAGTCCCCATCCTAAGACCTCTCCAGCTGTATAAGCGACCGATGCCTGACTGATCTTCGCGATGCTAAAGGTTCGAAGCTGACTGCGCCCGGAACTTTGCTGTGACGTTGCGGCGTCGATGTTAGCATTGGAGCCAACCGATACGATCAGGATATCCGGGTTCTTCTTCGAGGTAAGGACTGTGCGGGTCGCGTGCCCACTATTGCTCATGCCTGTGATGAGGGTCTTCTTTGTCCCCACAGTTCCAGCAGCAGCATCATATGGGTAGCTCGAGACGGTCGTCATCGAAGATACAAAGAGCGTCTTTCCATCTGCCGAAAGATCGATCCCGTGGTTAAGCTAATTCACAACTGTTAGTGAGAGTCGTTACCACTTGAGTAGAAAGGAACTTTGCTCACCCCTCTCTCGTTGATAAGCTGTTTGGAACTCGCAACACAAACATCGGTCCCACCGTTATCCGTGAGCTTCACATAGCGAACTCCAGCACCGCCAGATTCGACAATCAGCAAATTGTTCAAGGAATCGAAGACCAGACCCCGAGGTGTATTTAACCCGTTCATTAATACACGGCCAGAGAAGCCAGTACCCCATGTTGGGGCGTAGGCGGGTTGGATTGTTGCACACGTCTGGGCGAGAGTGCTTGAAGAGAGAGTCGCGATAGCGAAAACGAGATGGTGAAGCAGAATCATGATGAATGGTGGACTAGCTTGTGTGTGATGGTTGACTCACGTTCAAAGATATTAGGGACCTGACGGGAAGTGGCCGCATATCTTATACCCCAATTTCCATTACGGGGAAATTGGGGAAAGCACCTTCTCTAGTTGAACACGAGCTTCCTATCCAGAGCTAGGCTGTTCATCCAGTTTGATCCCTTGCACAAATCGCTTGGCTCTAAAGTCCAAGCTTCTGATTGAAGCAGAGTCTCGAATGAAACTGCGGCACAACAGGCTTGAAGATATGACCTCATGTTTGCGACATTGGAAGGTGATTGTAACGAAGTATGTCTCTTATGAGAGGACAGTGTATGACCAAATTTAGTACTTGTGATGACCTAGCCAGATTCATATCAAAACGATGCTAGGTTCAGACTGAGCCAAGATCTTACAGTCGATCGAAAGTGGCAGCCAAGCTTGATTTTTGTGGAGCAGCGAATAAGCGAGGGCGTTCGTTTAAATTGTTGTTTCGCGACTACTGGCATTTAATATCTACGCGCTATGCAGACCGCGGCAAACAGGGATATGAGTGCGGGGTGAAGAGCCATTAAATTGATTCAAGTCGGCACTGGAAAAATATGTCAGCTCTTGCGTATCAAATTAGTTGACCATAAAATTTTGGGCGAGCAAATCACTAAACAGGTCCTACACGTGGTTCATCGGAAGCGTTCCACAATTTTAATGGTTCATTCCATCAACGAGAATAGTGTATAGGAAAGCCAACCAAGAGAACCACGTACATGTGTATCACTATTCCGGTCGAGATCCTTAAGGTTTTTTGGGGATTTTATTATACTTTTATCTACAGAAGAAGGACTAATGAGCCTGTTCCGAATTCATATCTCGTTTCATCTCCAGATTGTTGATCCCACACCGTTCCCTAGTTCAACGCTTTTGTAATAGTGCTCAACTTGAACTATTCTACAACTTCAAATTTCCATGTTAGTTCTTCGCTCGCA